TACATTTAACCATAATCTTTCATAATTTACATTCTTAATGAGAAATTTTTGTTTATACGTAGGTATTCAAAGTCAGCCTGACGTAATACTACCTCCACGCGATGAATTGATAACTCAAATTTCAACATCAATAGGTCAGTATTTGATTTTTACCGAAAAATATCATATATATTGGCTAATAATTATGTGTAATTATTTTAATTTTATTTATATTACATTTAACTAATGAATAAAATGTCTACAGATCCACAAGGTTGTATCCATGGCAATGTCACTCCATCAGTACAAAATGGTAGCATCTCGGATGATCCATATAGTTTTGTTTTCGCCGGTATCCGTAAAAAACATCATGTGGTGAAGTTCAATGATATATGTACTTATTGTGGGGCAAAACGACTACAATTTGAATCTGCTGGCTTTTGTTGCATGAGTGGAAAGACAAAGTTGGCAGACTCATCTATTCCTGACGAATTACACAATCTTTTCACCTCAGAAACAAAATTAGGCAAATTGTTTAGAAAGAATATACGTGCATACAACACCAACTATTCATTTGCATCAATGGGCGTAGAAGTGGATGAATCGATGGCCAATATGACATCTGGGGTATACACTTTTTGTGTGAATGGAGGGATATACCATAGAATCGATCAGTTAGTTCCAAGGAAAAAGGATGAACCTAAGTTCTTACAATTGTATTTTTACGATGTTGAAGCTGAGATGTCAAATAGACTCGAATGGAAGAATCTTGCTAAACCAATTGTTGAAATTTTGACTCGCGTTCTTGCTACAAACCCATACGTTGCAATATTTCGTAGCCTTGCTGATCTAGGACCGCTCGACAATTACAGAGTCACTTTAAATGCATCAGTAGAACTAGACCAAAGGGTGTACAACCGGCCAACCACATCCGAGGTTTGAAATTAATTATGTACATATGTTTTTGAGAAAAAAGATGTTTCATGTATTAAATATAACTATGCAAATTACGTACCAGTTTTAATCATATTTTTTCTATTGTATAATTTCACAGGTTGCTGGTATTTGGATTGAAGGCAATGACAACATAACCGCATATAAAAGAAGTATTATAGTATATGGAAGGTCCGACAAACCAAAAACAATTCAATCTTATTGGGGATGTTATGACCCATTGTGTTATCCTTTATTCTTTCCAAATGGTGAGCCTGGATGGCATTCTAACATACTAAGGCAAGGGGTTTCATTCAATGAGATGGTTAATGACGACCAAATCTTCGATGAAGATCTAGAAGGTACGCATAGCCACAATTTTAATATTGTTAAATTTTACAAATGTAAAAATTGATATAATTTATTCAATTTAATCATTATGTAGAGACTGATATAAGAACGGGTAGGAAAACTGTAACTATGCGGGAGTACTACTGTTACAAGTTGCAGATTCGATCAAACTTGAACGTAATTATGTTAGGAGGGAGATTATTACAACAATTTGTGGTAGATATCTACATCAAGATTGAGACTTCGCGTTTGGAATTTTGTAGAAAAAACCAATCTACAATAAGAGCGGAGTTATACCAAGGTGTTGTGGATTGTGTCAATGCCGGTGAGGTACAAGCAAGTATGATTGGGCAACGTGTTGTTTTGCCAGCAAGTTTCATCGGAGGTCCTCGTGACATGCGACGACGATTTCTCGATGCTATGGCTTTAGTTCAAGATGGAGGGAAACCTGATATATTCCTTACAATAACGTGCAATCCGAATTGGCCTGAAATCCAAAATGAGTTACTTCATTTTCAAACAGCACAAGATAGACCAGATCTGGTTGCAAGAGTTTTTCGTGCTAAGTTACATGACCTTAAGGAACAACTCTTGAAGAGGCACGTCCTTGGTGTGGTGAGTGCATATGTTTATGTAATAGAGTTCCAGAAACGTGGTTTACCACATGCTCATTTTCTCTTAATAATGAAACCTGAATGGAAGCTCACCAATACAGACCATTATGACAAGTATGTGTGTGCCGAAATTCCAAACCCGACAAAGTATCCTATACTACACGATCTGGTCAAATCACACATGATACATGGTCCTTGTGGTACATTAAACAAAAAATGTTCTTGTATGCAAGGTGATCCACCAACCTGTCGTTTTAGATACCCTCGACAATTCAACGAAGCCACAACACAAGGAAAGGACACATATCCGGTTTATCGAAGGAGAGATAATGGAATTGCTGTGAATAAACAAGGTATTATGATGGATAATAGATGGGTTGTCCCATATAACCCAAAGTTGTTGATGATGTTCAACTGCCATCTAAATGTTGAGGTTTGCTCGAGTATAACATCAGTGAAATACATCTTTAAGTATATTTACAAGGGTCATGACAAGCAAGTTATCCATATTGATCCAGATGCACAACCTGTTGTTATCAATGAGATAAAACGTTTTCAGGATGCACGATACGTCTCCGCTCCAGAAGCAGTATGGCGAATTTTTAGCTTTTCTCTTAATCAAATCCACCCTAATGTGATCACTTTGCAATTGCATCTTCCAAACCAACAGTTGGTTAGGTTCACTGATGATGATGCAATGAAATCAGTTGTTGAGAGGGAGAAAGATAAGAGATCAATGTTGACTGCATTTTTCAAGATGAATAAAGATAACGTTAATGCAAGAGAATATTTATACAAAGATTTTCCCAAACACTTCACATGGAATAAAGAATCGCGTCTATGGAATCCTCGAAAAGTATCACGAGCAGTTGGTCGTTTGGTTTCTGCAAATCCTGCTGAAGGTGAGCGATACTATCTACGTGTGTTATTATGTCATGTTAGGGGTCCTACATGTTTTGAAGATCTGTACACAGTCAATAACGTAAGACATCCCACATTTCGAAAAGCGGCTCTTGAAAGAGGGTTAATAGAGACAGATGATAGTTTATCGCAGTGTCTTGTAGAGGCCTCCTTGTTTCAGTTTCCAAATGCTCTCAGAAGGTTGTTTGCAACGATATTAGTTTTTTGTGATCCTGGAGATGTTCGCAAGATATGGAATTCCCACTACAATTCTCTCTCCGAAGATTATAGTAGACAATACGATAATGTCAATCGAGTACAAAATATGGTCCTTACAGACATAAGCGTATTCCTACAATCTATGGGTAACAAGCTTGATAACTTTGATCTCCCGACTGTAAACACCGGTTTGAATTTTCAGTCTGGAGTTTTTCGAGAGGTACAAGAAGAATGCTCTATAATTGTGGAAGATGACCATTTGCGTGCCAAAGAGTTTCTCAATCCTGAACAAAAATATGCATATGATGAGATCATGAGGCATGTGTGTACTGATTGTACAGGAGTGTTCTTCATAGATGGTCCTGGCGGAACAAGAAAAACATATCTGTACAAAGCTTTACTTGCTAATATACGCAAACTTGGTCATATTGCACTCGCCACAGCTTCATCGGGTGTTGCGGCTAATAACATGCCTGGGGGGAGAACAGCTCACTCGCGTTTCAAACTTCCTCTAACTCCAGATAATAACTCATTCTGTAGAATCCAAAAACAAAGCGGTACCGCTCAACTACTTCGGCTTGCAAAAATAATCATATGGGATGAGGCATCGATGGCAAAGCGACAGGTGGTGGAGGCGTTTGATCGGACAATGCAAGATATCACTGGGGTGGCACTCCCTTTTGGTGGAAAGATAATGGTTCTGGGAGGCGATTTTAGACAAGTATTGCCAGTCGTAAGACGTGGGACACGAGCACAAATTGTAGACTCTAGCCTACGAATGTCGCCTCTTTGGTCTTCGATTATAAAGTTGCGGTTAACAATAAATATGAGAGCACTTACTGATCCATGGTTCTCAAACTTTCTATTACGGGTTGGTGATGGAGTTGAAGAAACAGTGGACGGAAGTTTTATTCGCATCCCTGATGATATGGTCATTCCATACACTGATAAAGAAAAATCATTAGATTCTTTGATTGATGCAGTGTTTCCCTCATTGGAATTTAATAGGTCTGAATCAGATTATATCATATCGCGGGCAATATTATCTACAAAAAATGATAGTGTCGATGCGATTAACAATTACATGATCGATCGATTTCAAGGAGAAGAGAGAATTTACTATAGTGTTGATGAAGCCATAGATGATAAAAATGGCTTCTATCCGTTGGAATTCTTAAACTCGATCAGTGTTAGTGGTTTACCTCCGCATTACCTTCGATTAAAAGTTGGATGTCCGATAATACTGTTACGGAATATTGACCCAGCAAATGGGTTGTGTAATGGCACCCGATTGATATGTAGAAGCTTTCAGCAAAATGTTATTGATGCAGAAATAGCTGTTGGTCAACATGCAGGAACAAGGATATTTTTGCCTAAGATTCCTTTATGTCCATCTGATGATGATATGTTCCCATTCAAGCTAAAGAGGAAACAGTTTCCTATTCGATTGTGCTTTGCAATGACAATCAATAAAGCTCAGGGACAAACAATTCCATATGTAGGTATCTATCTTCCAGAACCAGTATTCTCGCATGGACAACTTTATGTTGCATTGTCCAGAGGGGTTTCACGTTGCAATACAAAAGTATTAGTACAGCCTAACGAAAATTCAAAAGGTGATGGGGTTTATACAGCAAATGTGGTGTATAAAGAAGTATTGCACGATTAATATTTTGTGTCGTCTTGACTGGTTGCTTTTTATTGGTTATTTGATGCATGATGTAACAAATAACACCATAGTTTGATTATATTGTCTTCAACATGTACTTTTTTTTAACATAACAATTTTGTAATGGAAACATATCACCGAAAGAACTCACGTGCCCCGCCGCTTTGCGCGGGTAGACGGCTAGTTTTCCTTATTTGAATTAATGAAATTTGGTGTTTTTATTTAAATTAATTCAAAAAAAAAAAACTATGCCACCACATCTAATGTGCAGGCGGCAAAGAAACCGTACTTTTCAGATAAGAATGACATGACATTGTCGTGACATGGCAAAAAATGTGGTTTCTGTATCACGTCTCCTAAGTGGAGAGATATAAAGGTGCATTTATTAGCATAGGGTAAAGTAGAAAGAAATTTCATATATTGGTTGTAAAAGGTGCAACATGTGTATGTTAAAGGTGTGGTGTATCCCTTTACAATCCAAAAACATAACATACACCTGTACATCATTCAGGATCCAATCCAAAACATGACTTCATCGAGAAATGTTCACAAAAACAAAAACAAAAACTAACCACCTGTAATGTAACAACCGCTTTCTCTTACTGTAAATTTCAGTATCTATACACCTAAGGTCATGTAAAAAAAAAAAAAATAGCCTTCACCTGCATTCCCCAAAAGAAAAAAATAAATACCATTAACAACAAAACCTAGACAACCCCTCTAGTTTCCACTACAGGACAGGGACCAAATTTGTAATTTATTTAAATATTTACCAACAGGTCCCTAAAGAATGTTGAAAAGTACCTGAGGGGACAGAACTAGTGCAAGGGAGGTTGTGACAATGAGACATTTGGTGTTGATGCTTCTAGACCTTTTCCTCCATTAATGGCAGATTGTAGCACGTTGTATTGCTCACACACTGAATCATAAACTGCCTGTGAATAAACTACCTTCGCCTGCCATACATTTCACTCGTAATTAAATAAAAAGTTTATCAAATTAATAAAATAAATAAAAATGTAAAATTAAGTAACAAAAACCTCATCGGGGGATCCGCATGAGACAGTAGCTTCCTGGAAATCAATCGGGGGGCCCACTGATACTCCGGTTCCATGATACGATATCAACCTTTTTTCTCCAATTTCTTTCTCAACCTTTTATATAAAAAAAAAAAAAAAATGTTTTTTTTAATATTTTGTATATAAGTGACAAACAAAAAGAATACATATGAACCAAGAAGAAGAAGAAGAAGAGACCTGAGGTGGAGGTGGCATGATGTCATGGCATAGCATGGATAAAGGGTATATATGTCCAACCACACCCGCATGCTGCACAAGCCTTCTCATATTGTCCAGTGAATTTGCATCAAATGGTGCCTATACAATATTGAATATACATTATATGAAATATATATTTCATTTTTTTATTTATGTCATAAATTAAGATGTTACCGGAAACCACTGGTTTGTTACTGGATCTGGTCTGTCCCTTCCGCCACTTGGTGCGATCCATATTATTTTAGATCCACCCCTAAAATTCAACTTTAAATTTTTAATTTTTAATTTTTATATATTAGAAAAGAGAGATTTGATTGTACCTTAAAAGCAAAGCCATTTCTTTTAGACTTCTTGTATTGGATCTTCTTTTCATATCAACAAGCTCAGGGTCATCGTTCATGTGTTTTTTTGAATACACACACAACAAGTTTCTTCCCATGCTGAAAGGCTTGCAAAGAGGATCTGTTATAACTCTATCACCTGCCACGTAGATCTGCATCACAGTGTTTTTATTTTTTTTTAAGTAAAGGAAATATATAATATATATTTTTTTAGTTTGAGTTTAGGGTGAGGTGAGGTGAGCTTTACTATGTTTTCAGATATATGGGGATTTGTTGTTTCAAGCAATAAGGCGATGACAGCTGGATCTGCTTCTGTTTGGTGGTTTGATATCAAAATCACATTTTCTCCCTGATGGTTTAATAATAATAATAATTATTAGGATCTGAAATAATTATATTATATAGAAATAGAATAAGGAACCTGATTAAGCTGTTGTTCTATTTTAGTGAAAAGGGAGACGTTTCCAACATATGATTCCCTGAATGACAATAGATATTTACACATTTCTTTATCATATATATATAATAAATAGAGAGCTGAAAAACTGATAATAGCAAACAAAGATTAACTAACTTGAAATTGATCAAAGGACGAATATAGCTTTGACCAAATGTATAGTAGTCAAAGGGTTCTCGAATAGCTTCATGATATGGTGAAAATTCAAATGGCTCCTGCATGTTTAGAGATGAGGTTCATGAATCATGATCAAGATAAATGAATATTTTAGGTCAAATGGTCAAACCTTCACATCCAAAAACATACGATCAAAAGCTACACGCATATTTGACACTACAATGTCTTCTGCACAAGGATCTCCACTTTTGAGAACCTAAAAAGGAAAGAATGATAAATGTTATATAAAACTTAAAAGGGATAAATATAAAATCCACTAAATCAGTATCTAAAACTAAAGGATTAGTACAGGGAAACCCCTAGAAAGAAGTTTACTGCAGTTTTGTAGTTGTGATACAGCTCTTCCATTGATTGAGCAATGGGTTTTGGAAGTGTTTCAGCTTCTAGCTCTCTTTGAATTCCCAAAATGAGATCTGAATGAAAGATTTATATTGAAATAATAGCATATGAAAATATGAATGCATTAAATAAGGTATGTTTAGAGTTACATGCAAGCGTAACATTGTACTTAAATCGCACAATTAGGTTTCCAGTGAAATGTGATAGTTGACAATCACATGAAGATTCCCTACAGAAAGACACATCTATGGATCTTTACATAAAAGCATAACAATTGGGAATTTGGGATCATCATTTCTTGAAGTTGTCTCAAAAGTTATGATTTTATAAAATAGGGAAATCCTAGGGCTTTGATGGTTGAACACCGGGTGTTCATGAACCTTCAGTGGTGTCCATTATAAATTACCAAAATTGTAGATTTCTTATGTATTTGAACGATTTTGTGTTATAAATGCATTATTTAAAATGTAGCAGAAGAAATTATTTCTCTCTTTGACATGTGCCTTACATTTCAGAAACTCCTAACATGTCATCTGCAAGCCACGAATAATTTGAACAACATAATCAAAGTACATTTGGCAATAACATTAAGAGTAATTAAGGATCTAACTATATGAAAAATATCATAAACCAATTGTCCTCATTCACAACAAGACATGAAATTAGGAGCCCTGTTCGTTGAGGCAGCATAGCAAGAAGACTGAGTGATGATGATGGTTCGGTGCCTCAAACAGTATCAACAAGCATAATCACTAGATTCAAATCATCATAAGACAAGAACATGCACCAAAAAAACTCATCAAGATGTTGATTGCTAAATGTCATTGGTTCAAATACAGTCAAACAAACCAGAAGAACATCTGGATTCTGGATAAGCTAAGCAATGTCAATCATTCAAAATCTTATCTCGGACATCAATCAAGCCATCAAGAACACACAGACATCATTAGTTTGTCTCAAATCAGGTTGTGCATAAATCAAACCTCCTAGTATTAAAGAATTTGACAATCGCTCAAGAACTCGATTCACCGCACTTCTTTACAATTGAAAAGAAATGATCAAAACTACTGCAATGAAGAAACAAATCAGAAATCGCGAACAGTGAATAATTGAATATCAGACAAATCAATCGCTCGAAATTCTCCCACCATCACTTCGTTTTAGTTGAAATAGAGCAAAACAAAAAGCATAACACACGCGTACCAACGCTATCACAGTAAATAGACACAGGCATTCAAAGCAAGTGTAAAATTCACTCGACAAACACACTCGGAATCGCATATACCTTGTTCAGAGCGAGCATCGATGAATGTAGGAGAGCAACCGAGTTCGGATCCAGACACCGGTAGTGGAGTAGAGGATGGCGAAGGCGAACACTTCTTGTCTTGAACCGTTTCCGCCATGCCATGGGCGGCAGAAAACGCCAAGCACGGAAACCGCCGGAAAGCCGAACGAACTCGCCAGGATGAAGAATTAGAAGTAGAAGGTAAGAGAGAAACCCTAGGATTTGTGGTGGATAAGAAGAGAGTAGGGGAAGAAGGAGAGAAAATCGACATAGTGTGTGTGGAGAGAGAGAGAGAGAGAGAGATTTTTTCAGGTAGAGGTGGTGTTAATAAAGTGATGGAGGTGATGGGAGTGGTGGTGGTGGCGGTGGAGCATTGGCGGAGACGGCCTGTGCACACGTGCTTTTCATCGAAAACGAGGCGGAGGAGGAATCGTGCGATTGGATTAGCTGACGCCGCCTGTAATGGATAGTGAAACTAACTGGCCAACCGTTAACCCTATTTCCTTTTATTTTATTTTCTATTTTATATTGAACATTTTACAATAAAGTATATTATCTAAAAGATTGTTCAACATAAAATACAATTTCTTGAAACAATCTCAACATATAGCATTCATGAAATACTTGGCATGTAATGTAGATTATTTCTTATAGATAGTGCGTGTCATGGTGTGAAACGTGACTTCGTTGTAATGTAGATTATTTCTCATAGATAGTATTCTAAAAAGTGTGTCATTACGAAAAGCTTTATAACGTTGTTGCTATGCGTGACGCGTGACAAGGCATGATATGTCACGCCATGACGCGTTATAACGTATTATGTGCGTATTTTTTTCGTTTGAAATGCGGTTTTTTGTTTTTTGTTATCTCTTTTCTAATCGGATATACAAGTATTATGGTTTTTGTTAACTTTTTATTATTAATTATTGATCTAACACTTCTAAAAAAGTAGTTATATTTAATATAAATTTATATTTATGTGGTAATATAATTTTAAATTAATACAAAATCGTCGCCTTACATCACACATTAAAAAACGTCATGATTCGTCATGGCTCGTTAAGCTTAAGGTTTGGCCTTGCCACCAAGTCACGCCTCATGTCAGATAAATATTATTTTACTTTTTATTTATTAAGTTAATATTAAAAAATCATTACTACAAATACATTTGATTACTATCTATTTTCATTATTAAAACTATAATTACAACCATACCTTTAAATGATTCCTAATTTTTTATAAAGCTTAGAAGAATTAAAAATGTATTTACCTACTCAGTTGGCCACATTAAAAGTACAAAATTGACATGGTTTATCATTAAAATTCATGACACTTATGGGTTGCATTAAATAGGAATGCAATTTCTACCTAGTGGTAGGTTTTTTTTTTTTTTTTTTTTTTTTTTTTGTTAAAGATGGTTTTCCCGGGCATTAGAAAAAGTTGAATCATTTAGTGCTAAAATAATTGAACCTATTAATGATAAAAATACGTAGCATTTCTTAGTCGTCTATAGGCTTTTAATTCGGTTAGATATCGTTCCAACACTATATTAAACGCACTGAACATTAAACGGTTTAAACTAAATAGTTTCCATTTAAATGTTATAAGTAACAACTTATTTTTTTCTACTTTAACCAAGGCGAGTAAGTACAACTAGTTTGATTATCTATTTATCTAATACAACGAAAATTTATAATCAACATTATTGAATGACAATTACATTATATTGCTAATACACATAAAAATATATATTATCTTAAAATAGATTTTCAACAAAAATAAAGTTTCTATATATCTATACCTATATATTTATCTATCTATATCTATACTTATATATACTTATAAAGACATTTTTTCTTGCATCATATGCATTCAAAACCTCCAAAACTTTTCATTTCCACATAATTAATATTCATTTAAAAAATTTTGCAATTTATATATACTTAACGCTATTTTTTGAAACAAGTTGATTAAATCATGTTTATTTTTAACTTATATATACTTAATGATATTTCGTGGACATTGCACTCTCAATGTTTCCTCATCATACCTCTTTACCTATGTGTATGCATAATTTCATTTCCTTGCAAAGAATACCAATAGATGTATTGCCACTAAATTTTTTTGGATTCTTTTGTTACAAAGTTTGTTATTGATTTAATACATATAGTCTTTTTTATTCTTATTATTAATCTTTTTCTCAAAATTTTGATGAAGTTTTTGTATTACATTTGCATATCTTTATGGATTGTTTCTCACATCTCTATTGAAACCAAAATCTAGAGTGTCAATACATCTCAACCATATATTCCTTTACCTACAAGATTTTTTTTTTTACTTTCAGATAATAATTAAGATTCTAATTATTAATTCTTACAATTAAGTAGAATGACAAGATTACTCATTCTTAGAGCATTTTTATTAAGTCCGTGTGCTTAATTGTTTTTCATCTGAATAAATACGTTATAGGTTTAAAATGTGATTATTGTTTGTATAATTACTTTTAATTAAAAAAAGTTATAGTATTATATTAATTAATTCATTAAAACGTGTGACTTGAGTGGTTTAATATTTTTAGTCAAATAAGTATTACATATGTTTTTACTCTATATAGTATATCTTTATATTAATATATCATATATGATATATTTACATGACTCGATATACGCGAGTGCAAAGCATGACCGCGTTAACGGATGCCAAAATATAATAACCAAGATGATATTAAACAAGTTGATGTGATTACTGTGAGTAAGAGAAAACGAATGCAATAATTTGGATTTAGTGTGTTATTTGAGTAACGATACCAAATTTGTTCAAACTGGACCCGAGTAATCAAAAATCGGATTAACGAAAGTAATATGGTTCAGTTAAATGACAAACATAAAACCGATAACCTAATATCCGACTTACCCGCCTGGCGATCATGCCTAGATGACATGAAGTATATTCGGTGGTGTGATATTTTCTAGGTAAAATGACTTCATCACTCACATTTATCTTTACGTAAACGTGTAATTAAATAATTTTTCAAAGTTAACTAAATTTATATATAGATCGTAAATTTTTATTTATGTAGATGAATGAAAGAAAGTATTTATTGATGTATTTTATGAGGAAAAAATGATAGATCAAACTACAATTATTAGAGAACAAAACTATGTATCGATATATCATTAAGATAATACAATTCTAAAAGATTTTTATATAAATCGATTAATTACCATAACAATAAATAATACAATAAGTCAAAATTTAATGAATTTTTATACTATCTAATAATAAACACTCTTGAGATCAGTTAGTTTAAAATGGTATCTATCTTATTCCATACTTAAAGCAATGACAATGTAAAAAATTTTATTTCAAAGTGAATGATACTGACATAATTATTTCTAATGACATATATTAATTATATTAAAATATTTTGCGTAACGCGCTGATATTCGTCTAGTCATTATATAATTATAAAGAAAACATTTTTCCTTTCACCATATTCATTTAAAACTCTCATGCATTTTTTTCTTTCACCACATTCATTTGAATCTGCCATGACTTTTCAAATTCTTTCTAATAATAATTATAATTTGGTTAATTAGGTTAAATAAATATCAAACCTAAAGTGTAATTATATATAAACTAAATTTTAATATTAAAATAATATCTTTACTTCTACTTATAGAATTATGTTTTTTTAACTTTTAACATATTATACTTAATTTATTAGTTTTAGTATATTGTTGTATGTAAACCATTATCATTTTAAATATACAATTTTGAAACAATTTGTATAAAATACTTAAATTATTAATTTAAATGTAGCATTACAGGTTCAACTTAAATATAAATTTTAGTTTAAGTTAAACAATCCAAAGAATATTTTATAAAAAAGTTAAAAGTGAAAAATTATAGTGTTTTTTTATAATAATTTTTATAAGTTGGTTAATAATGTTAAAAAATTATCAAATCTAAAGTGTAATCTTCAATAAAATAAATTTCAATTTTAAAATAATATCTTAACTTCTACTTATAAAGTAGTCTTTAGATTTTAACTTATTATACTTAATTTAATAAATTTAATATATTGTTATATGTAAATCATTATCAGTTTAAGACTACAACTTTTGAATAGTTTGAACAAAATATTTACATTGTTAACCTAAATATAACATTACAATGTCAACGTTAAAAGTTTCAATTCCACTTAAAAAACAAAAGAATATTTTGTAAATAGATAAAAATGATAAATTCTAGTTATAAATGCAAAAATTAAATTGTAATCTCAATTAAACTAAAATATTTCCTAAAAACAGTTTTATAATCGTTAAAAGTTTTTAAATAAATAGCTTAAAATAACTTACAATAACAATAACTAAAAATAACTCTATATAAATTATTATATTGTAACCTTTTAAATCAAAAAATAATGTTTCATATTTTAAATAATTATAATGATATAAATTACAACATTATGCAAATAAATTTTAAAAAACAATTAATTAAAAATAACAATTATAAATAACATTAACCATATATTATATTTAATTTTATTCATGTGTAACTTGCAAGTAGAAGTCATTCAAAAAATATAGATTATAAAGTTGTAATAGATGTATATATATTATCATATAATTTAAAATAATCAATTTATTATGTAAATTTAATATACGAATTATTATATCAAATTTAGCAATAGCGTTATTATTATATTTTAAAAAACATATATTTGTAAAGACTTCAACTATGTATGTGTTTATGCGCAACGTGCGGGTATTCGCCTAATATATTTATAAAAAAAGCATTTTTATTTGGACAACATGTCTTTGAAACCTCCGTGACTTTTCAATTTCTTTCTAATATTTATTATAAATTGGTTAATAATGTTAAATTAATGCAAAAACTAAATTATAATAATAAATTTACTAAGCTACATTATTAAAATATCATATTTTTACTTATATTTATAAAATTATGACTTTAACTTTTGAACGTATTATAATCAACTTATTGTTTAGATATGTTGTCATATCTGAGAAATTGTTATTTTAAAGTCATAACTTTTGTATAATTTAAGATTTTATGCAAAAATATTTGAATTATTAATTTCAATATAATATTAAAGGTTAAATTAAATCAAAATTTCAATTAAAAAATCGAGAGACTATTTTATAAATAGCTAGAAGTTATAAATCATAATGGTAAACTTAAGTTATAATGCTAAATTAATAAAACAACCATGAAACTATTTTTTTTAATCATTAACAATTTTCAAATAAGTAGCTTCAAAATAACTTAAAATAAAATAGTTAAAAGTAATATTATATAAAATATTATAATGTTATATTTAAAAACAAAAACAATGTTTGTTGTTTTAAATAATTACAATAAAAAAACTAATATTTATCAAATAAATTATAAAAAAATCAAATTTATGAAACCAAATTAAAATAGTTAAGACTTTCTAAATACATTATTTTACACATCTTACAACAACAATAGTTAAAAGTAATATTATATATAAAAATTAGATTGTTAATTTTAAAAACTAAAACATTGTTTGATGTTTTAAGTAATTACAATAATAGAAATTAAAATCTTAAGTAAATAAACATTTTAAAATTAATTAATCATAATAACAACCATATATTATATTTTATTCATGGATAACCGCGCAGTGAGACAATTGAAATTATAAAATTTTAAAATAGTTCTATATCATCATAGAATTCAAAATAAACAATCTTTATACCAACTTATTATAATATTTATTATAAAAAAGCTAACACATTAATACCGTTGATATATTTACAAAATATTTATTTATAAATATTTCAAATATATTGTTGTATTCTGACCTACGTATGAATATTCGACTACTTTATTGTATAGAAAACGATTTCCCATTTCACAATTTAAACCAAAGTCTTGAAAGTGACTTGGTATTTTCTTGTGCGACCTACTTTTACACTTTTGTTCTCACTCTTCTTGTATAATTAATTTATTAAAGTGATTACATTTTATAATCGGGTAAAATATGAAATACTAATGAATATTTCATGTCAACTTTATAAGAATGTTCGAATCTGTTACGTCGTGACGATTTTATTAAAAAATGTATAGATGGTAATTTCTACTTATCGATTTATGAATAAACGGATTTTGAATGTATATCAAGGGTCGAATAAGTAGAAGTGAAAATTTAGTAAACTTCATTTTATGAATGTATTTGTTTGGCATTAAATAATATTAAATACTGATACTAATAATAATAACAAAAATAATAATAAATGAAATAAAATTGAATTTGGTTGGCATTAAATACTACTAATAATATGGTTGGTATTAAATGAAATAAAACTGAAATTTAATATCCGATAGTTACATGGTTGAGTTGCAATGAATCATTGAAAGTGAAATGTAGATAATGACAACCACCTAAATTACCAAATATAATTCCATATTCGTTATAAAAAAAATATTTAAAATTAATAAATATTAAACACTACTAATAATAGTAATAAACGAAAAAAGTAAAACAAAGCCTTCGGTGTAACAGATGTAGCCTAACAATTGAACAATATGTCTTGCATTGAATTACAAATTTCGAAATGAAATGACTAAACAGACCTCATTGCAAAACCCAATTTCTATTTCTTTAACATTTTAAAAGTTTTAAAGGTTCTTCTTAATTATTATATCAAAATTCAGTCATTCTTTATATATTAATTATTAAACCTATCCAAGGAAATTCATAATCACCAAATGTAGCACCAAATTGCATAGAACAAAGTCTGCAAAAGCACGCTCAGGAGGTAAATACTGCAAAAAAAAAAAAAAAAAATTAACAGAAGGGCAATTTGGTCATTTACTAAAAAGAAACATAAGTGTATATTTTTTACTTCGTTTTATGCAGGAATAAATAACGAATATACCTTGAATTCCTTGTTTTCTTTGTTCACTTGAATTCGAAGACAAACTGTAAAAAAAAAGAGAAAAAAAAATGGTAATTCAGTATCATTTCTAGAGAAAAGGGTAAAATCGTCATTTGTTCTCATTAACAATTTATTTTGACTATGTCTATACATGAGTTTTTTTTTACTTGATGAAGAAGAACGACTTAATAGAGAAAATCAAGGAAAGTTTTTTTTTTTTTTATTGAGTTCTAACTTTTTACAAAATTGCCCTCATTTATTTCCAAGTTTGCCATGATTTTTTAAAATATCTTTCAGAAAAATTTATGAAAGGGGTCCACTTACCAGCTAGGACAGCTGTCCCTACACAAGAAAGGACACCAGAGAGAAAAGAGTTGAATGGAAATGACCCAACAACTGCCATGTAAACCACCTGATAAATAACAAAATACATAAATAACCATAAATTCGTGTTAGTTGCATAAATTATTGTGAAAGTTGTTTGATGGAATGTAAGGGTAAAATGGTCATTTAGTCTCGGATGAAGGTATTATAAATTATTTAGTCTAGACTCTAGAAAAGAAACAAACTTGTGTTTAAAATGTCAACATGCAATAACTTGTGCCTTATTTTCAAGATTACATTTGTAAGTACTGTGATACTGGCTTACATTAAGATTTAGCTATGATAAATTCATATATAGATAGAATCATAGAACAAATTATATATACAGAAGTATAACAATAATTAGAATTTTCAAATGTAAGAAATTGGAATAAGTTTTATACTATATAGATAATAAACACTGAAACATTAACAGAAACCATCTGCATTTCACAAATCTGCTATATGTTTTAGGTCAATTACAGGTCCCCATGAAGTTCTCAACACAACCAATCCATGGAAATTGAAGAATTCTTCAAGTTTTTATGCAAGCGGAGAAGAAAAAGCAAATTCAATCAACAGTTTACAGACAAAAAACCATAAAAAGTTAAGAAAACAAAACCCTAATAAGCACAGAAATCCTAACTTATCAGACGATTGAGTTTCACGAGATTGCAAGTGAGGCAAAATCCTGAACTTAAACGCGAAGGAACTACTACATTAACTTTTCAATCAAACACCGTGGAATTAACAAATCTTCATCCACGATGAGCAGCTGGTTTCGATTTATGCGAAATTCGTATAAAACCGATCTTAATTAGGTAGATAATGAAGCAAAAGACGAGTACCTGAATTACAGCGGTGAACACAGCAAAAACCACGTACAGATCTATGATCTAGAAGAAACACAGAAAAATGTCAATCGTTTAAGTTCATTCGGACACTAAGAAACCAAAACACACAAAATTTACGTGATTAGATCGAGGGAGAAAATGAGAACCTTGAGATTAGTAGGAGTAGCGGCATAAGCAGATCGGAGAGACTGAAAAAGAGCCTGTGCATCATCTTTCGTCGTCGGCGATCTCCCCATTTCCTCTGATCACAGTTTCTGTGCGTTTACTCTTCAGTCTCCACAATGAAGTCAAATTGAGAGAAACCCTTTGTGTACTAAAATCTCAGATCAAGTCTTCAATTTACGATTTCAAAAGTTACTAATTCTAATTAACATCAAGGCCTATTAGCTCAGCTGGTTAGAGCGTCGTGCTAATAACGCGAAGGTCGCAGGTTCGAGACCTGCATGGGCCATTTCTTTTTTGGTTTTTTTTTACCTAAATTATTTGCTTATTTACCCCAATTTTTGTGTAATTTATATTTTGCACTCTTAGTTTTTCCGCCTCTTTTAATTTCTGGAGTTTACTTTTACACCTATTAATACATTTTAAGCTTTTCATTTCCAACTTTTACCACAGGTGGATTAATATGTATTTGTTAGTCTATCAAAAAAAATGTTAGGTGTTATATTTAAATTCAATTCTAATTTATGAACAAGTTTCAAACTAAAATTCATTTATATTAAAATGTTAATTAAATATCACTGTAGCCCAATCAACTATCGTTATTTATCCGATTGATCACTAAAATATTTTTTTTTCTCAATATGTCATTAAACTTACAACTTATATGTGTATTAAATCATTTTTGTTAGTTTTTAACAGATCATCCGTTAACCAGTTATTATAATTTACAAGAATAGTATGTATGGTTTCAATTTCTTTTGTGGTTGGTCATTTACCAACATCGTTCATCACCTGCACCACCATTGTTCACTTCCGCACCCACTAACGTTCACCTCGAGCAACCCCCACGATACATAACTAAAGGGACGACAACAAATAATCATATAACCACTTAACCGCATAGCAGATAGATCTACAATCACTACCGTATAACAACATCCTATATACCAGGATACATAACTAAAAGAGGCGGCATTGGTGCCTGTGACCCATAAGAACAGTGAGGAAAACTCACCTCACAGTCTGAAAAATAATTGAACAATACACTGCTCTGAATATTGGATCTACATGTCACTTATTCGACAGATAGATACCGTATAGCAACATCCTATATATCAGGATACATAACTAAAGGGGGCGGCATTGGTGCCTGTGACCCATAAGAACAGTGAGGAAAAATCACCTCACATTCTGAAAAATAATTGAACAATACACTGCTTCGAATATTGGATCTACAGGTCACTTATTCAACAGATAGATACCATGGCTTAGTTATAGCTCAAAATACCCTTAAGTCAAACTTGGTCAAAGTCAAAGTCATCGGGTCAATGAGTCAACTTGGTCCACTCATCCAAGTACGTGGGGCGTACTCAGCTCCTACGTCGGGCGTAGGCCTAATTTGATTGGAGTCGGGAGGTTAACCACGTACGCGCAACGTATGTTGAGGTACACACGACATACGCTTAAAATCTTCTTTCCTCAATAAGAGTGTAATGCATTAAGCTCTCACGTCCCAATTTCAGATCCAAGGCCAAAATACTACTAAGGGTCATAAAGCTTCAAACTTTATGACTTTGCGTGCCCATTAAGTGCTTAATACACAAAATCCCAACTTCTTAACCCCTTAAGACCTTCTAAAGCATGAATGGAGAAAAATTAAGCATCAAGACCACATTTTTATGACTCAAGGCCCCTCATTAGGTCTAAAAGGACGACTTATTCGACTAAGAGCATCAAATGCTCAAGAATCATCCTAGTTGGGACCAAAAATGCCTTAAATGAAGAAATGGCTAGATCTACAAGATAGGTGTCACAACTAGAAATTTTGTGTCTTGTAATTACTATACTCAAGTAAATGTTGAATTCAAAAACTCAAAAGCATGTATGATGCTTACTCAATGGAAAACTAAACCCCAATTCACTACATCAAGCAATTGGAAACCCTAGAAGTTCTTGATTAGGTCCATTTTGGACTAGGACTTCCTTATTGGACCTAAATAGACCAATAAGTTTCCAATTTGACTATCATGGGCTTAGAACCCTTAAATGGACTCTAATTGGACCCACATCTATTTATTTCAACATTTTGGGCTATATTGGGCCTAGAATGAAATAAATTCAAAATTTGGAACCATGATTAACCTAAACTAGCCCAACAAAGTGTAAAAATCATATTATATTTTTTTAGGTTAAAACTCATCCAACTTAATATAAACATGGGCTTGTGGGCATTAAAGCCCAAATTTTCCCTTTTTCCCTCCAAATTCTCGGCCCAAGGCCCAATCCCAAGAAGAAATGAAGAGAGTTGACTTGTAATTGACACCTCATTATTGTCTTTTGGATCTCCATGCAACCCATTCCATGTATCCATGCATATCACTTCATGTCTATTTCTCCCTCTCTCTTCTTGTTTCGGCCGTGAGCAACACACACACACACACAAACCTCTCACAAACTCTCTCTAGATCACTCAAGACTTCTCTCTTCCTCTCCATCTAACATCTCGAAATTGGCTTGTGTTTCAAGAGGATTCTTCAAGATTATCATCATCCTTTGGTAAGTTTTTCCATGTCTAAGCTTCAAAACTTCCCCCTCACATGAGATCTCTTATTCTAAACAAGTTTCTTTGGTGATCATACTCCTAGAAAACTCCATAAACTCGAGATCTTCATCAAGGGGTGCTAGGGCCGAAAAATCACTTCATTTCTTCCATCCTTTCTTCAAAAACCGAATCAACACCCAAGGTGAGCTTCATACCCCCTTATTTTCAGTTTTTATAAGTTTTTGTGGGGGAGAATACAAGCAAAGGTGTAGATCCATCATTATGTGTATGTTTTGGTTGATTTCTATGCTTATATGCATGTTTTGTATGATCTTGATGCTTGATCTAGTTATGAATTGCTAAAAACCGAGATATATCTTATACTAGCATAAAATATACTACTACATGCAAAGTATACCAAGAAAGATAGCCAAATGGCTTGACAACACTCATTTTGGGCTAAAAACTCATTTTTTTGACATAAAATGCTAAAAATACAAAGTTAAAGGGCCTAAAACGAAATATTACGAAATCTGATGGGTGAGATGAGTCAAAACAGTTTCCATAATGTATTTTCTGAAAATATACTATTTGGAAGGTTAAAAGCATAAATTTCAAGCTTAATGGGCTAAAAATGACAATTTCGGCCCAATAGAGCCCATTATGCGAAATTTTCTATTTTGGAGGGCCAAAACTGTGTTTTTCTGTAAAACAATGGACCACTAGTGTCACAAGTACTTTTCGAAGGTTTAAAGTGCTTTTCAAATTTATAAAGGACCAAAGTTGCAAAAATTTTTCCAATTTGGGTCAAAAATGTAAAAATTGCGAAAAAGAGGGGTTACAACCGAGAAAACTGCAAATTCAGGGACTTAAACTGTTTTCAATGAAAAATATGCTGAAAAATATTAATTTCAATAATTTTTGGTGTTAAAATGTCAAGAAAAATGGTTTAAGGACTAAACCGGAAATTATTTTACCTAAAGGGGTGAAAAAGTAAATTTACAAAATGAAGAGGGGTTGTAAACAGAAAATTTTCAATGATAATTCAATACACTCGTTGTGAACAAAGATTGACACTACGACTCTCGATAAATTACAATACACAATATCACCAACAATCGTTACCAAACGAATTGATTCGGTTTCGAATCAATAACAAATCCAAAACTACTAACAATACAACGCTCAATACACATATGGAACTCTTGGAACTCTTTACTCTCGTGGAATTACTCAATACGTCGACGTACACTCCTTAGGCCCAAAAGTTGCAAATCATGCTTGTCGAGCCTAGCTAGCCCGATGACATGATCTTTAGGCCCAAAGGACACTTGCTTACATGTAGTTGGGTCTAATACGACTCGACCGCGTGTAAAAGGACTTTCAATGGCAAACATGCTGCTGGTCCCCAAGGGTCCTCAGTGCTGCTAGTAAAGTCGGGAACTCACGATTGCGGGTTGGGCTTCGGGCCCTTCGCAATTGCAATGGTCTTGAACGACGTAGGGAAATACCGAGGGTTTCGCACCTTCTCTTTTTCCCTTCGGTCGTGGGACTACACAAGTCCGGGAGGATTGAGTTGTGTGAATAAGTGCGAGTGACGCCTAAGGGATCGCTGGTACGGTTTTCGACTGCACATTTTCATTAACGGACGTTACAACAATTCACTACCCACTGTATACTCAATGCCTCCGGAGCTCAACGAATACCTCTAATGTAACAAAATAACAGTACACAAACTAAGTAAAGCAAAGTGATAGGAAAACGTCGGGTTTTCCTAGGGTTTTCAACAAGTACACTTATGAACTACATGTCGAATTTCACAACTCTTACGCTTACATCTGTAGAATTCAAACAAGCATACTCACGGATCTTCACATATTTTTACGCTATTCTATTTTCAGAAAATATCGGATTTTCTGGTGGTTTTTTTTTTAACATTACAAACATTGGATTCCAAACATTACTTATGAACTCACTAACATTTCACATGTTGACGTTTTTCAAAATACTTGTATTCTCAGGTAACAGATAAAGTGAAGGATGAATTGTACTCTATGACGTTTTGCTGTGGTTTAATTAGTATCGAACAGTTACTTTTGAGAATGTAATGAATGTAAACACTACCAGTTGTATTATTCCAATGCTTGGTGATGTATGATGTTATGTTTCAGGTATATTCATTGTGATGGTATTCAATTGAGTCACGACAGCCCCCGGACGTTTCTGCCGTCTGGTTCGGGGGTGTGACAATAGGTTGATCAAGTTATGAGCTTTTTACCTCCTGAAGGTTGCTAGCAAGGAGAGAATCCCAGATCAAAGTCTTTTCCAGGCTTCAAAGTCTTCCCACCACCTTCTTCTTCTTCAAGAGTACCACAAAACATAAAGATGAGCTCAAGATGCACTCTTCTCACTTAGGGTTAGCTAGGGGGACGTTTTCTCAGATGGAGGTTGATAAGGGAATGAGAAATAAGGTGATAATGATACTTATATATGAACCAAACCGTAAAAATTAGGGTTTGAGGTTTCTTCACGTACATAATGTACTCTTAGCATATTAACGTCCGCCCTAGTATGCCGAGCGTACTAGATCTTGGCCAAAATTACCAAAATGACACTATAGGCCATTCTTGCAATATTTCTCAAGCACAAGGGTCAAAATAGAATATTTTTTCATACATAGGGTTAAAATTGAAATACCTCAACATCAGGATGTTATAATTTTTCAAGTGTTGAAAGAC